CTCTCTCTCTCTCTGTGTGTGTGTGTGTGTGTGTGTGTGTGTGTGTGTGTGTGTGTGTGTGTGTGTGTGTGTGTGTTTCTTTCTTTCAGGGCTACTATTGCAGATGAAATGGGCATTCCCCAATTGTAGCCTTGTGTTGGACGGCTCCAGTCTATTGGTGGGGACTGTCTCCTGCTACGAACAGGAACCTGGCCCAGCATCCCTTTCACATACATCTGTCACCCGTCCTTGGCATTGTCGTAGTGCCGTCGTGAAATTGACAATTGGGCTCTTTATTGTTGTGAGTCTTGTGACAATTTGGCTTTTTTTTTAATTGTTGTTGAAAACTCGCAAACCCGTGGGTAACAAATTATTGTGAGTCTTGTGCAGGGCGTCGGATCGGATGTGTCGTGGGAGAAGGAGGTGTCCCAGGCGACTGGTGCGGAGATCCATTTGTTTGACTCGACGCCGTGGGGGGTTCAAACGATGGACAGTATGTTTCCCGTTCCGGAGCGATGGCATTACCACAGGGATCTCTTGGGTATCGACAATCGACACCTGGACATGTGGATGCTTGTGAGCGAAGCGCACAACGAAGTGACGTACGCGCATGTCTCCCCGCGCGAGGACATACTGCTTACGGAGAGCTTGCTTAATCGAAGAGTTGCGGCTGGCGAAGCTGCCGCCGAGATCGAGGACGAATTGTCGCTTCAGGTCCCTCCCAACTGGATCATATGGGGAGACCGCCCGGTTCGTCTGCGAACGCGTACTCTGACGGAGATCATGCGATCGCTGACCCACGATCGAGTCGATGTGCTGAAACTTAGCGTCGAAGGAATGGAGACGTATCTTATCGATGATTGGTTGGAAATGTACCGGAAAGGGGTGTGGGGACCGCCACCGACTTGCCAGCTGTTGATTCAGTTCCGTACGGGCTACCACCGCAATGTTACCGAGGTGGGCACGACTGCGGTGCACCAACTTCAAGAGTTAGGCTTCATCTTGGCCGGTTGCGATGGAGCACCATCCTCCTTGCGCCCGGCAGACTTCCTCGGTCAGCGCTGTACCTTCTTTTCCAGAAGCTTCTGCTTGCAGTGATGGCAGAGGCACCTCGCCTTCTTCCTCAGTATATGCAATTGTGTGTGTTGTTGTTGTTGTTATTGTATATAAATCTCTCAAGAGTCTCTCAACGTGGTGGGGAGTCCTATCCTATGTATGGTGATTCATGTGGACTGGTTCGGTCGTCACGGAGACTTCACCCCAAGAGAATGCAGTGCGGTCTTTTATTGCTGTATCGGAAGTTCGAAAGAATCTAGACTGAAAGTTGCCCCAAGTGCAGATGCAGCTATAGTGACCGGAGGTTCGGAAGTTCGAAAGAATCTAGACTGGAAGTTGCGCCAGATACAGCAGCAGGTATAATGACCGGATTCTATGTTCTATTCGGGTGAAGACACTAAGAACCGTAGGATCCGGGTCAGGGTTTCGATCATCTGCTCTGAACGACGCACATCCGGTCTGCAGGACTCTCAAGGCCGGGGGAGGGAGGGGGGGGGGGGGGG